ATACAGGCCAGACAGACCAGGTATAGCATGCTAAAATAAATAAGGTAAGAAATCAGTATACAGCAGCCCCTGAAGACCTTCATTTATCTTCCAGATAGTAAATTCCATCAGTGTGTTTAAAGGAGGACAGGACTGCCTGAGTTGTCCTGGAGGAAAATGAAACAGAGTTGCAGATCCAATGTTAACCCTTTCTTACCCACATGTAAATAATGCTTCCATGGACTGTCTAGTATTTGGTTTGGGTGGTGGCAAAGGATACAGTTTTTTAAAGGGCAAAATCATAACTTTCGTGCAAATGTAAAAAGAACACATGCCACAGATCTTATATAACTCAGTTAATTAGCAAGCCAGCAAAATGTTCCATTCGTTCAAAGGATAATTCAAACAATGTACCCATTTATAGGTAATCAGAAATGCGGAAATGAATTTACACATAAATGCTAAACTTGTCAACATTTACAGGACAATAATAAGTTGCACTTCACAAACTCATTAGCATTTCTATGGAAAAATAATAAATTACAGTAATATAAGAAACTACAGATTATAAAATAGCTCAAAAACAATGAATTAGAAGACTTAGCAAGGGGGAGCGAGATAGAAACCCATTCATCTTTTGTGTGGGTGTGTGTACATCTTCGATGTGTCAGTTTTTCCCGACAATGGACACTTTTATCAAGTATTTACCTAAAAGTGGATTTGCTAAATCAGGGGTATTCATATGCTTCAGTTTAGTGGATATTGACAGGTTTTTGTTCTCAAATGATAGTGTCAACTTACACATTCATCAGCCACATAGAATTCTTTATATGCTCTTGAAAATTAGGAAGTTCTGAATCTCAGTTCAGATCTACAGAGGGTAAATCTTTGAACAGTCTCCTTTGTAGATCTCATGCATCCTAAATTTTTAGAGCTTTAATCTGGGTATAATAAAGAATATATCTGTGTTTTGCTTCTGGTTCCAAGTAAAGAATTTGTAAAAACCCTTGTAATTTGAGTGACAGGTGTTATCTTTACTATGCTAATTAGGGGACTCTAGGTGAGGACCCTAGTTACCTTCAGGATGGAGGCTGGTCCCCCAAGAGACTCACCCCTGGTTAAACCATTGTAACTTTAGGTAGCTCAACTTCTGGGAAGAAGGAGGGGACTTGGAGATTCAGTTCAGTCACATGTCCAATGATTTAATAAATCATGCTTACATAATGAAGCCTCACTGCAAACTCTAGACACAGAACTCAGTGAAGGTTTCCAGTTTGTGAACACATTGTGGCTGGTACCTGAAGTTGGCACAAATAGTAAGTACGTGCAGCTTATTTGTTGAATGAATAAGTACATGGATTCTAACCTGAGTCTTACATCTAGCTCTTGAGTAAATCATTGTAGAAGTATAAATTCTATGGGCACAGGCCAGTCTAGGTAGGGCTTGATGTTTTGTCCATGCAGACAGATTCTAGAAGGTTATGGCTAAACAATGGGAACACTGTGTGTAGGAAGGCTACGTATCATCATGGCAAATGACACTCTCTAGAACAATCATTTTCAGTTCAAAGTAGGTCAAGACAAATTGACCATCTGACTTGTGGTCCATACAGTGGGCCCTGGCCCAATAGGATTAAGAGGAGGCCATTGTGTCTTATATTCTCACAATATGGAGAGGATTCTAGTCTATAATTCATAAATACTTAGTGAGGCTTAAACTCCACAGACAAAATATTGTTCATCTCTAGGGACTCAGATTGGCCCAAGAGGGAAAAAAAATCTAAAACTGGTATTAGGCATTCATAAACATTCACAAACAGCACAATACCGTCCAATATCAGGATGATACTTTAGCCTTCATTTCCTAATAGTATATAATTTTGGGGAAAAGAATTATATTGGACTTTGGATATCTGGCTTAGATATTTTGATTTTAACCTCTGTTCACAGTGCAGAGTAAGTTTTGGTCAGTGGAGCAAGTAGAAATGAATGCCACAGGAAAAAGGATCTAATGCTAACCCAGTGAATTGAAAAAAGGAAGAGCAAAGAGAGAAAATGGACAATCCTATATATGGTTATCAGACTTTATCTAGATTCAAAGTTTTACTGAAAACTTTTTTTTTTAACTCCTAGGACTTACATTCACTATTTACTTCTCCCACACAGGATATGCTTAAGAATTTTTTTAAAGACTTTGTTTATTCATGAGAGACACAGGAAGAAGCAGGCTCCCTGTGGGGAGTCTGACGTGGGACTCCATCCCAGGACCCTGGGATCATGACCTGAGCCAAAGACAGATGCTCAACCACTGAGCCACCCAGGTGTCTCAAGAAATTTTTTTCTAATTTAACAACTTTTGAATGACTAAAGAAATCTGACTCTATCATGGAAACCCCACTGGTGACTTCCAGCCAACCATGAGTAGCTTCAGTATCAAATTCAGGCAAGAATCATCTCCATATTGAACACTCAAACTCAGGGCAGGAGAGAGTTTCTAAGTGCTGGCGTGAGAGGCAGAACAAGTCATCTGTGTTTGCTGATTAGATTTACCCAAAGGAAGATTACACTCTGTAGTAGTTTTGTGACACTAAGTAGTTTTACAACCAGGAGCAAGGCCCACGTCCAAATTAGGCTCTTACCATCTCGTAGAAACTGGGAAAGCCCTTGGTGCTATCTTCCTCGATATTTTACATTCAAAAAGATGGGCTGCAAAACCAAGAGGCTTTTTCAGAGACTTAACATCTCAGAGAGATAGGAAAAAAAAAAAAACAAACTAAAAAGCTTTCTAACATAGATGTTCTAGAAAAGGAAGATCAGGTACTTGTGTAGAGTTTGATAAAGCTGAGGGTAATGTGAAAACCATCTAGTTCAGTGTATTTAAATGTTTTGCTTTTTTTATTTTAAGTACTGAAGCAGTCCTAGAGAGGGGCAGTCTACTAGCCGGAGTTGTACAGAAAAATAGAACCAATAGGATGTGTGGACATTCCACTAGCCATATAGACAAAGAGATGGATTCAAAGGGATTGGCTCATGTTATTGTTGGGCTGCCAAGTCTGAAATTTGCTGAGCAGGCTGGAAACCCAGGGAATAGTTGATGCTGCAGTTTGAGTGTCAAATGTAGTCTGCTAGCACAGTCCCCTCTTCCATCCTCAGTCTTTTCCTCTTAAGGCCTTCAACTGATTGAATGAGGCCCACCTACATTATAGAGGTTAATCTGCTTTATCCAAATTCTTCTGAATTAAATGTTAATCACATGGAAAAAATACCTTCATAGTAGCATCTGGACTGATGTCTCACCACCTGTCCAGGTGCCAGGATCTCACCAAACTGACATAAAATTAATCCTTACAGTCAATGTGAGTCTGGTATGCAGTAAAAACCTCTAAAGGGCTAGATGGAATTGTGATATCTTTCTGAAGAGTAAGTGTCTGAGAAATATTCCTGTACTACTGTTATTGAATAAATCAGCTACTTAAATGGGGGGAAATTCAGGTGACTTGACATAGATGAAGTTCTTTTGAGTTTTTATAGTTTGGGAGAAGCAAAGACAATCATAATTTTTCTTTTCTGGATAATGAAGCTTGCTTTGAAATATGTGAATATCAGAAGAATGCCCTCAGGCAAAGAAGATGCAGCTTTTTAAGAAAAGGATCCAATTTGGGTAGTAGGAACGGTGCTTCCCTGGCCACATAGGTAAGGAGATTCTGACCTTCTGATGATAAGCAAATATTATTCCTGTCACTGCAGGGGACCCAGCATACAATCGGAGAAGTAAAGACATTTGCAATTTACAGTTTCACTGTGATATGGCAAAAAAAAAAAAAACCCACAAGATGTGGAAATACAGCTTTTTGGAGAGTTTGCCTACACACCTACAACCCATGCTAAGAATTAGATGTAGTTAGCCTTAAAATGATGACTTTAGATATTGTGCAGGGCTCGGTACTTTGGGAGAGTAGCAGATAGAACAGAATAGAAGGGTGCATTCAAGCACTAAATAGAGATGTTAAGAAAAGCTTGCAGCAGGTGAAGTTATTATTCACCTGATATGTTGCTATCTCTCAGATCATTGGATACACCTTAAAATGCAAATTGCTCTTTCCTAGATATCGGTGATTTTTTTCTGTATACTGGAAGCCTGAAGATAATTTGGGCTTTCTACCTACGGCCTTGTTTTTCAGCTGCCAAAATTCTGTACAGAGGTAAAGTTACCTCAGTCTCTTCCCATGGATTCCTCTTTCTCTTTGAGTCCTCATCATCCTATCGAGTCTGTGAATGACAACTTCCAGCACTAAGGAAATTAAACCACTCTAAGACACAGATTTATGGAGACGTATTTGCTAGTGTTTACTTCACAAAAATCAATCTGCATAATAACACTGAATTGTTACTCTGGTTTCCAGAGCCCATACCCTAAGTTCCTTTTTCTTATTCCACCTTCTACTTTTTTTTTTTTTTAAAGAGGCTGGGAGAGGGTGGAGGTTGGGGGAGGGGCAGAAGAAGTGGGAGAGAGAGAGAATCCCAAGATCCAGAGCAGGATCCAGTGCAGGTCCGACATGGGGCTGGATGTCCCAACCTTGGGATTATGACCTGAGCCGCAATCAAGAGTCAGACCTTAATCGCCTGAACCACCCAGGTGCCCCTATTTTTTTTTTTAACTATTCTTGTTTGACAGTCAAGAGAAGCAGAATATACCACTTTGGCATAAGGGTTATTTTGAGCTAAAAGCAACCTAGAAGCAGAGGCGAGAAAAGCTCTCTGTCCTCTCATTTGCCTAAAAGCAGGACATAAATTTGTGAAGGTGTCCCCTCTCCCTTCTCTGCCAGGAAGGACAGGTGTTTGTCACTGGACACAAGTCTAGACCCCCCCCCCCCCAGTCAGCTCTGAGATGACATCCTGGGATCTAACAAACATTACTAAGGGGCCCTTAGCTTACCGTAGTTTACTGCCCTAGAAACTCAAAGTCCTTTTCCTTTGTCTTGTCACCTCTCTGATAAGGTATGGTTCTTTTTATTCTGATCCTATATAAGCCCAAGGTCTAGCCACCCCTGTGGGTTCCTTACCACCAAGTACTGCTAAGTATGGGAGACGCACATGTTAATAAACTTGTTTTTCGCTTGTTGATTTGTCTTTTGCAGCGCCCCACCCAGACAACCTCCTAGGAGCATAGAAGAAAAACAGTTAAGTTTTAGGGGAGGAAAAAAAATCTTCCTTGTATTATAGTCTTTTTCTCCCCCTCCCCACCTTGAATGCAAAGTATTTCATTCTTTGAGTTCATAAAAATGCCTCGTTTGCCTTATTTCCTAGATTCTAAAACCCTATCCGTGGTATGGTACTTCATAAATTTAATAACATTGTGGGATCAAGCCTGATTTGAGGGTCTTAAAACTAAAACTCAGTATGATAAAACGGAAGTAAAGCAAGGTGATGATCAGGACTTCAAAGGAACAAGTACCGTGTGATTTCTGGAACTGAATGGAGGTAGGTTTTTCTTGTATTAATACTTTTATACTTTAAAATTAACTACATTTTTATATACCTAAAATATACGTTATATTATAAATGTATGTGTCTATACATCCAATGTATTTCATATGTATGATGAAGTGGTGAAGACATCCACTTGGGATGGCTGATTTCTGATTTAGATGGAGCCCGGGCTGGTGCTCCCCCTTGAGATTTTCTTTAGTCATTTTTAACCACTGTTTATGTAATTCATGGATTGGATTGTTTTTGAAATAGACTTCCTCAGACTTAATTTCGTTGGGAATAAACACGTTTGACAATATTCTATATTCTCCAAGATCATCTCCTAGAAAACCCTCTTTATATTTGTGTAAAAGGAAAAAAAAAATCTCCCCTTACAGCAGTACTTGCCTATGAAATATCAAAAGAAAAACAGTTTCTCTTAAAGTTATTCTAATCCACCAGCCTTGTTTAAGAACGGGAATGACCCCAGATATACTCGGCTGGTGTTCGGCCTGACTGAAGACTCTTTCCTGATGAAGGAACATTAGGATTTGTTTCAACCAGTTGTGCACAGAACAAGGGATGCCTCCTGCCTGTCAGAGAGAGCGCTCTCAATGCTTAACGGGAATTCCCGCCATGAAATCCCCTTCCTAACACCCCCACCTAAGTACTCAGTGATATTCTTCCCAGGTAGTATCTTCTTAAAATTGGCAAATAAGGGATCCCTGGGTGGCGCAGTGGTTTAGCGCCGGTCTTTGGCCCAGGGCGCGATCCTGGAGACCCGGGATCGAATCCCACGTCAGGCTCCCGGTGCATGGAGCCTGCTTCTCCCTCTGCCTGTGTCTCTGCCTCTCTCTCTCTCTCTGTGACTGTCATAAATAAATAAAAAAAATTAAAAAAAATTAAAAAAAAATTGGCAAATAAAAACAACCAGCCTTAAAACCTACCTTATTTTGTACTGGCTTTGGTTGGTTTTGCAGTACTTTTGAACCTACATTCAGGATATTAATTGAATTTATGGTTTATAGAGATCTGAAAATATACTTACAAGAATAAAGCTGAAGTTCTGTGTAGACAGTGTTTTATCTAGTATTGACTCCTCCAATTACAAAATTATGTCCTTTTTTTCCCCATTATTTTTTAGAACTGTCCTATCTCTGATAATTTTGTCAACACACATTCAGAAACTGATTTTTTTTTTATCCTTTTACCCCCTCCTTTGATTGGCTTTGTGCTCATGGTTAGAACACCAGCGGTTTACACATGAGGGGGGGTGTGTGTGTGTATGTTATTGTTGTTGTTGTGCTTTTGGAGCTTTTAAAAAAAAAATCCATGCCAAAACCTTTGTTTCATCCTCCACTGCAGAGTAGATATCATGAACGTATCCAGCTGAGCTTAATTATACCAAACAAAGGAAATAGAACTTGGGAAGAGCTTCTCTCTGCACCTGCTTCTCCAAGAAAACAAGGAAATTGGAGTGGTCTTTTTGTGGACTCAGTGTGGCTGTGGCAGGGGCCGTGAGACAATAGGAGAAGGAAAAGATTGGAGTTACATTTTCCTAACAAATGGGTAATCCGTCCTCAATCCAAATTGGTTGAACGCTACAACCCTCATTGTTTCCATTTCATTTAATGCCCATAAAAATGAATTCACTTGAATTCAATGGCTGTAGGCTCAGAATATTCGCAGTGTATTTGTGTTGGACTCTAAGACTGATCTGTTCGGCTTTTTTATTCGCTTTCTATGAAAGAACATTAACCCAAGACTAAGAAAGTAGAGAAAGATGCTCAGAATTCCATCACAAATTAAATTATTTTCAAATTTCTTTCCACTCCAAGCTCACATACTAATTTTACACAGCTATCATCAATGCTTTTATATGGTTATGTTAACCATGTATTTTGTAATGATATTTAGTGGGTACATAATATTACATCAGGTCGATTAAGCAGTTTCCTTAAGCATTCTATCATTCAGGGGAGTGCAGACTGAAGCTGTTTTTACTGAAACAAATGATTAAAATTAACCTGTTGTTTAATAGGAATGCAAATGGATTTTTCTACATTGCTATTTTTTTTTGAGAGAGAGAGAGGGCAAAGGGAAAGAGAGAGTCTCAAGCCGACTCCTCGCTGAGCACATAGCCCAACACAGGGCTCTATCTGAGGACCCTAAGATCATGACCTATGCGGCAATCAAGAGTTGGACACTTAACTGACTGAGCCACGCAGGCACCCCTGCCATTTATTTTAAAATAAATTCCATATAGTGGTCAAATACTATGTACTTTTCTGATGACCCATGATGAATTTTCAAATGCATACATATCTTTTTCTGAATGACCTGAGCATAATTTACAAACATCACATCTCTTTTTCCACAAATAAAGTAAGTGACTATTTCCTAAATATGGCTTTTCTCTTAGGCAATCACAATAATATTCTTCAAAACCAGGATATTTAACTCTAATACTGGACTCTCATATATTACACATTTCATACTCAAGAGTTACCAATTGTCCTAATAATGTCCTGCTTAATAATTTTTTTTCTTGAATCAAGTCCAATCCAGAGTCACATTCAGTTGTTATGTTCACCTTTGTTCACCTTTAATATGAAACCATTTTCAGCCTTTGTTTGGTCTTTCATGACCTTAAAATTTTTGAAGGACACTGGCCAGTTATGTTACAGAATATCCTTCCACTTATATTTCCCTGATGTTTCCTTGTGACTGGATCCAGGTTATGCATTTTTAGCAGGAAATCCACAGACTAGATGCTGTGTCTTCCCATTGCATTATTTTAGAAGATGCAGGATGTCAGCTTGTCAATTTGTTGGTGATGCAAAGTTGATCATTTCATTAGATGGTGTTGACCAGTTTTCTTCCCCATAAGGTTACTATTTTTTCTTTTGTAATTAATAAGTAATTTGAGGGAGATACTTTGAGATTATGTAAATATTCTAGTCATTAAAATTTTATCCACTGTATTTAGCATCTATTAATGATACCTGCCAGCATCAATCATTACTGTAATGGTTGCAAAAAAGTGATTTTATAATAAAATAGCATTTCTATATTTATTAATCTTCCGCTCTACATGACAGCTTTCTCTTTCCCAACATTCATTTATTTCTATCAGTATAGACTTATATTTTTTTATTTAATTCAGTGCATGTTCTGTTACTATCTATCATTTTCTGCTCGGATTGTTCCCAATTTTGCCCGCAGGGAACCCCTGCAAATTGGCTCCTGACATGTCCCTGTAATATTTTAAACACTGATTTACTTTTTGGCACAAGATGTTCTACGCTTATCCTGAAGTTTCTCTATCTCCTCCAAGAATCCCTGATTCCTTTAGTGGGTATTGGCATAGAAAGCAAGGTCTGTGTGCATGACAAAATAGTGAAACTTTGTGGCATTTGACCCATGACCCACATGCCCCCAGCTCAGTGTGGCAAAAGCAGTACTCTGTGTGGGGAAGCTGAAAATACAGGTTCCCTCTTCCTGTAGCTCACAGGCTTGGACCATAGTTCTTTGCAAAAGGAATACATCACTAGTATTTCTGATTTCCTGCAGCTCCTAATGACAGAAGCAGTTTTCCTAGAAGGCATAGCTGAGAGGACCAGGCTCTTTTTCCCCACATAGGATGGAAGCTCCACCCCAAGTGTGGCAACCCAAGAGTGACTGGCCCTAATTGTCTTTGCCCCAGCTTACTCTTAAGGTGAAAGTTTCATACTGGAGGGAGAAGCCAGCCATGGTTATACTAGCCATCCAACACCTGCTTTTAGAGCAAGGGAGAAAGGACCACTGTCCTTACCTGCAGCTCCTGGACAATATCCAAGAATTTCTTCCCACAGAAGCCCCCAGAAAGGCCAGCTGTACAGATGACTGCTATATAGAATAGACTGCTATTCTGCTTTGCTTGGGAAAGGATATCGAGATATCCATACTTAGATTGACAAATAGGTGAGATCTTGGTGGAGTGTTTAACAGGGAGCACATAGCTCCATGATAACGGTAGCAAACAACACAACACAATATTAGGGCACTTAAAAGTTGAACAGATCAAGGTAAGACATAGTAAGAGTCATCCTCGGGGGTTCCTGTGGGGCTCAGTTGGTTGAGTGTCTGCCTTCAGCTCAAGTCATGATCACAGGGTGCTGGGATCAAGTCCCACATTGGGCTCCCTGCTCAGTAGGGAGCCTGCTGGTTCTTTTCCCTCTGCCCCTTCCCCCAGCTCATGCTCTCTCACTCACTCTGCTATCTCTCTCTTGGGTGCTCTCTCAAATCAATGGGTGAAATCGAAAAAAAAAAAGCCATCTGGTTTCACATTCAAACTTTGAGGGTTGGGAAGGCTATGTCTAAGTGCTAAGCTGCACCCAACTCAGGAGAAATTAGAACTCATTGTGACACAGAGGTAAGTAGAAACAATCCCCAAATCACATACCCATCAACGAAGGATGGAAGGCTCATTCTCACTAGAGGATCAAGCACAAGCTCTAACACAACACTGACTGAACAATAAGCAACTCAGGGGTCACCCTTAGGAGACTGGGCTTAAAAATAAAATCACAACCATCCCTGGTAGTCTTGAATATTGCAGGCATGTCCAAGACTGTGCCCTTCCAGGAGTGACTGGAGAGGGATTTCCAAAGTGCTAATCCCTGTCTGAACACGCGGCAAAGACCTAAACTTGAACTATAGTAGAAGCCTCCAAGCCGTACATACATAAAACAGTAAAAGCTAAAATCTGACTGGCCAACAGGGCTTAAGCACAGATGTTGAGCAAAATGTGGCAGGGATAATGTCTAAGCAGCATTTGACAAAATCCAATACTTTTCAGACTAAAATATAATTTAACAATCTGAGCACAGATATTAGATGTTATAGATACATTAGACACTAGAGATGTTAAAAAGGCAAAAAATATTTTAAAAACTAGAGATGTGACAATGTCTCAAAAAGACAGAACTTATAGAAAAGAAATAAATGGAAACTCGAGTTGAAAAGTATAACACAACTTAAAAACTCAGTAGAGGAAAGACAATGTCAAGATAATGAGAACACAAGCCCCAAGCAGGAAAGAAATTTTTGCAAAGGCACATCTGATAAAGGACTATTATCTAAAATATACAAAGAACTCATACAACTCAACAATAAGAAAACCTGATTAAAAAGCAGGACAAAGACATCAACAGACATCTCACCAAAGAAGATAAACAGTTAGCAGGTCAACATGTGAAGAGATGTTCCACATCAGAAGTCCTCAGGGAAATGCAAACAAATCTTTAGAATGCACCGAATCCAAAATCACTAATAACATCAAATGCTAATGAGGATGTGGAGCAACAGAAACTCTCGTTCACTGCTGACAAGAATGGGAGATTTTGGCAACTCCTTATAAAACTAAACATACCCTTGTAATAGCCAACAATCACACTCCTCGATATTTCCCCAAAGGAGCTGAAAACTATGTCCAAACAAAAACCTCAATGTGGATGTTTATAGAGCTTTATCTGTTACTGCCAAAACCTGGAAGCAACTGAGATGTCCTTCAGTACGTATGGATAAATAAACTGTGGTCCATCCAATGGAATATTACTCAGTGCTAAAAAAGAAATAAGCAACCAAGTCATTAAAAGACATGAAAGAAGTTAAGCACATATTGTTCAATGAAAGAAGCCAATCTGTAAAGGCTACATACCGTATGATTCCAACTATATGACATTCTAGAAAAGACACCACTAATGGAGACATTAAAAAGATCAGTGGGGAGATCCCTGGGTGGCTCAGCAGTTTAGTGCCTGCCTTTGGCCCAGGGAGTGATCCTGGAGTCCCAGGATCGAGTCCCACGTTGGACTCCCGGCATGGAGCCTGTTTCTCTGTCTGCCTGTGTCTCTGCCTCTCTCTGTCTCTGTCTCTGTGTCTCTCATGAATAAATAAATAAAATCTTAAAAAAAAAAAAGATCAGTGGTTTCCCAGGATTTGGGGTGGCAGGGAGTACAGAGGATTTTTAGGTAAGTAAAAATATATGATACTGTAACAATGGACACAGGTCATTCTACATTTTTCCAAATCCATAGAACATATGACACCAAGAATTAACCTTAATATAAACAATGGACTTTCAGGTAATAATGATGTGTCACTGCAGGTTCATGAGTTATACCATTCTGGTGGTGAATACTGACAATGGGAAGGCTGCGCATGTATTGGAGAAAGTCTGTGGGAAATTGCTTCTCTCGTTTTCTTACAAACCTAAAACTTGCTCTAGAAGGATATCTATTTAATATTGTCCTAGAGGACACAGGCAGGAAAATTAAGCAATAAGAAGTAACAAAGTTCATACAGATTGAAAGAAAGAAAGGTCTATTCAAAGATGGCATGATCTTTTTTATATATAAAATTCTAAGGAATAACTAAAAACACAAATAAACTAATTCAACAAGGTGATGGGATACTAGAATATTTTAAAAGCCAATTTCAATTTCTATATACTAGCAACAATCCAAAATGAGATTATTAAAAACAAAAATACATTCACCCAGGGTACTCTAGGAAATTGCAATATCCGATAGGAGTAGCCCCTGGGCTTAGGATGTAGCAAAATATTTGCTTAAGTATGGATTTTGTTATTAAGATTATGCAAATGTCTCTAAAAAGTGTGCATCTCGATCTATGTAAGAAATTCTGACTACTGAATGAAATCAATTTGTTGCCGGAAGGAATCACACCAGTTTGGAAAGAAAATCAACAAATATTTACACCAAAAAAGAAAGACAACTTGGTTAGGAGTGAGCAGACCTAGTAAATTAAGCATGTAAAAAATTGTTGAAGGTTTCTTTAGAATCCATTCAATCAGAGCAATTTTGTTAAAGGAGTATACTGTAGATATGGCCAAATCACTTTGGGATCGCTAAGAAATAACTAAAAAGCATGACCTTATCAAAAGAACTTGTCAAAAGATACATTTGATTGTACACACATTCTGTCTCTCAAACTAAAAAAAAATCCATGTGTCTTTTTAATCCACTTAGAAGTTCTAACAATGGGCAGAAGCCATACCCTTGATTTGATCCTTGCTACATAAGCTCTATCATCCTTTCTTGAACAAAGACTTTCTGATTTTTATCTTTCACCACTTGAGGATAAAAAGCACTTGCCTCTTTCAGCTCTATGTGTCCTGAATGGGATCTATGCTCTTTTACCTCCCAAATTATTTAAGACCACACACAGTTTTATCAAAAATTTCATCACAGAATAAGATGAATGGCCATTAATACAGTGTTCAGTAGCAATTTAGCTGCAGTCTGCCTATTAACTACCATTGGTGTTGATACCACATGTTCGTTTCCATGAAAGCAGACCCTCCTAGTCAGATTGGGCTGGATGTGGGAAGAAATAACCCCAAATTACAGTGGCTTAGTTATATTTTACCCCCCAGTCCATGCAACAGGTGGCCCTGAAGATCTGTGATCAGGGATACAGGCCAAGGGGACAGCCATCTTTGCAACTATTACCAAAAGAGAAAAAAGTCTCTGGAGGGTTTCACGTCAACAATTCAACTCTCTGATCCAGAAGCACAGGTCACTTCTGCTTACATGTCATCACAAGTCACTTGACTTCAGTCAATCACATGGGTTTTTGGAAGTGAAATCCTTACATGCGAGAACCAATATTAATGGAGGAGTTATACATTTGTGGGGGGATTTATTTATCCCTACAAAAAAACATCAGGGTTTCAGAAATAATGGTCAAATTGGAAAACCATTCTTTTGTACTAAAACAGAGCATCAGATGAGTGTGTGCAGGGGTGCGCAGCCTGAGAAAAATGTTATACTAAAATACTAAATATGCTGAAACTAAGTGACATAGAACAGTGGAAAAACATATTTCAATTTTGGTTTAAATATACCTTTCTTCTGGTCCCTCTGCTGGAGCAATCATAATATAATACCTATGTCATTTAGCAAAACTCCCTCTCACCTATCAAGATTAATCATAACAC